ATGTAGGAAACAGTGGATCAGTGGCGGTGTGGGAGAGAAGGCTAGGATTAGTAGGAGAGAACAGGAAAGGGTCAGGGATCCTGTGGGGACACAGGCCAGGGGTCACAAGGAGAGAGAAGGTTACGGGTCAAGAGGGAAAGGAAGGTGAAGGATCAGTAGGAGAGGTATGATCAGTAGTCATTGGCGGTGAAGGTCAGAGTTCTTCTCTAGAGGGCAAGTTGGAGTGTTACCGGCTTACGTGGCTGCGGTTTGTGGGGCATCTTCAAAGAAGCAGGTAGCACCTGAACACTTGGAGCGCCTAAAAAACGCTCCCTTTCCTGAAGACAAGAAGCTTGTCCGTCCCCTCGATCACGCACGGGAAATCCGGATTCTCTTTCACTTCAATTCCCAGTCCCAGGGGTTCTTTGGGGGGACAGCCGTCGCTGTGGGGTCTCCGCACCTTTGCCAGAGGGAATCGGCTCCTCCCGGACGCGGTTACCTAGCAACCAACCGGCAGCCAGCGCGCAGGCGCTTCTGACGCCCCCTAACGGCTTCAGGGGGTAGCGGGGCAGGGCGAGCGAGGAAACTCAGCCCCACTAAGTCCCGCCCCCTCAGAATGACAGGACCCGCGGCCGCGCGCATTAGTAACCCCTGCATGTGGGAGGGGCTGGGGCGCCCAGGTACCGCCCCCTCATGAATAATGCACATTCGGGCGGTGCCCGGACCCGGAAGTGGAGTTGCCGAGTCACCGCAGTGGCTGAGCTGTTGACAGGAGGCGGTGGCGGAGGAGGAGGCGAGGCCGGACCCGCGGCTCTGCCCCGCCACCGCCGCGGTAGTGCTAGGCAAGCCCACGGAGCCACGCGGGCCTCAACCCGCCAGCGAAACTCCCGCCCCGCTCCCACCCGTCGATCTGCTCGGCTGCCCGCCCGCCCTACTCGTCCAGGGCGGCCTAGTCGGCACCACCCGACCGGCTCCTGGGGCTGCCGCCCCGCGCGGTCCCGTTGGCGTCCCTGGCCGCGCCCGGCCTGGGTTCGCTCGCTCGCCGGCACCATGATGGAGGAGATCGACCGGTTCCAGGTGCCCACCGCGCACTCGGAGATGCAGCCGCTGGTGAGGGGGCGGGCGGCGGGCAGGCCAGGGCCGGGAGGGGGCGCCGCCTGAGGAGGAGGAAGGGAATCAGGCCTCGGGAGCTAAGGGAGCGCCTTCTAGGAGGCAAAGAGAGTCTTGAAATCACATCACTGGGGAGGGCGACCTGCAGGACCTGAGAACCGTGGGAGAATCCGCGAGGTGACAGCGAAGGAGCCTGTAAGGGGGGGGGGGGGCGCAGTCGGAGGATGCAGGCCGAGGGAGCTACGGGGAGCACTGGCGGGTGGAACCGAGAGGGGCACAATGGTGCACACCAGCGGAGGCCCGCAGCTGAGAAAGAAAGGGGATTGTCATGGAGCACCGTGGGCGGCAGGCCCGGGAGGCTGGCGTGAGCGACCGGAAGGCGTTTCGTCCTGGAGGCCTGTGATGTTCAGGGCGGGGGAGGGGACTGGAGAGCAGTCGGCTGCGAGGTACCGGGAATAGGCTTGTAGAGGAGGGGCCCGGCCCGCCAGTGTGCTGATGTGGATGCGAACGCGGGGGCAGGGATCCGTGGGGGCAGAGGTCGGTGCAGGACCCGGGGATTCCCTTTTCCGGAGGAGAGCGCAGGTAGTCTAAGCCGGCGGCACGGGCACCGAGAAGGAGAGCGCGCAGAGGCGGGATGGAGAATCTGAGGTGCGGACGAGAGGGGCTCCCGAACCGACGGGCGAGGGGGCAGGGCTGCGCCGGGGCCGTGGGGAAGAGCCCCCATCCTCCTAGGCCTAGGTGTTTGGAGCCCTTGCTGGGCGCCGATCCGACCGCCTGTCCGCGGTCCCGGAGTCTGGGAGGCATGATGTCATCGCTGCCGGCGCAGAGGGGATGGAAGGGGGAGGGCGACGCGGGCGCACCGCGGCCAGGCCTAGGGCAGACCGAGCCCGCTGCCCACCGCGGCGGGGGGAGAGGGGGAGCACCTGACTGTCTTGCCCGCCGCCTAGTGGAAGAGAGGGCGAGAGAGAGAGAGAGAGAGAGAGAGAATCCAGGGAGCGCTCTGGTTCTGTTCTCAGTTCGCTTTTCCTTCTCCTCCCCGCCCCCCCCCCCCCCCCAGCCTTAGGGGGAGCTGGAAGGAGTCAGGGTAGGCCAGAAACCTAAAGGTTGGGTCCCCTATTCTCTGAGTTCTGCTGGAACCTAGCAGAGCTCTCCAAGACTTGAAGATATTGGGCTCCCTACGGCTCTTCCCTCTGTGTTAGGCCAAGAGGTGAGAAACAGCTTCTACCCTTGGGCCTCCAGGCCTCTGGCTTACAGATGTGCTTTGTGGCTTCCGGAGCAACCTGCCCATCACAGCAGCCAAGACAGACCTTGGTGGGAAGCCATGACCTACTCTAAGCCACACTTTTTGGGAGATGATAGAGAGAATCATTGGAGGCTACCTGGCAGGAGATAAAAGTCACTTTCCCCCTTTTGTGATTACTTAGTTCCAGAAGCCAAAAAAGAAGCTGCACAGAAGTGTACCATGTTACACTGGGGAGAGAGTTGCTGGCCTGATGCCATCATTGGATTATTTAGGGGATCAGAAAAACTTGGTGACAAGTTTGTCCCATAATATTGAAGAACTTTGGGCTGGGTTTAGAGGACTTTCCTTTCTGGATTATTTTTCCACCCAACCTGGTTTGTCCAGCTAGATTGCCCTTCCAATTTTAAGCATCTAATCAAGAACCCAAAAGGAGGGTGGATGAAGGAGGAGGAGGACGTCCAAGTGAGTCAGAAGAGCGCAATGAGTTGGTTCTTGCCTCCCATGTGGGGTTCCTGAAAAGGGAGGCAATAGCTGTCCAGGGAAAGGGGGGAAGGAATTGAATCACTCGGCTCTCTCCGTTGTCCTTGGTGCCTCCATCATTGCCTAAAGTTTTTAATGATGGTTTGAGTGAGTACTGGTCCCGGAAGACTCCCAAGCTGTGGCTCTGGAGGAGAAGTGCAAGGAGACATTTATCAGAAAAACCAATTGCCTTCAGACCTTTTTCTTGAAGCCTAAAGGAGTCCTTCTCTGCTAGGGGCTGCTTTGTTGCATTTGAGTGAGAGCCTTATGGAAGTAGCAGTACAGCCATCCCCCATTTGAGGACCATAGACACTGACCTGCAGATTTCTGTTACTTGATGGTTGTTCCCAGGTTGAAGCCCAAAGGACTCCCAAAACTCCTTAAATGCTCTGTATGTTGTTGAGACCAGCAGAATTTTGTGTGGCATTTCCCCAAGAGCCTTCATTTCAGGGTATAAGGAATCAAGGTGGTATACCATAGAAGAGAAGGCAAAATGACTCGTTAGGAGTATCTGGGTGGACCGTAACAACTAGGGTCCCAGGCTTGAACTCAGCTGTGACCAATCTTATTTCTTGCCATTATTTATTGAGACCTTTATTCTAGAAAGTCTCTCCTCTTCTCTGGACTTAGTTTTCCCATTTATTAAATGAAGATAAGCTATCTCTTTAAAGGTTAAACAATAGCTCCTCACTCTCTCTTCCAAAGAATATCATAGGGACTTGATATTACTGATTCTGAAAATTCATTCACCTTATATTTATTGAGCATCTGCTCTGTTCTAAATACTACATTAGGGGTTCGGAACACTGTGGTTAACAACATAGATGCAAATATGGCCCTACCCTCCGGAAGCTCACAGTTCAACAGAAGTTTATTGTTCTTGCTCACTCCCTCAGGGTGAGCCTCTCTGAGGGCAGAATGGGGGCTGTCTCCTTAAACCCTAAAGGAAATGAGGCAATGCTGGTGCCAGCATCATTCCCTCTTTCTGGACTAAGCTGTACTTGTACAGGCCTGTCATATGGGCTCCATCATCAAATAAACCTCCCCTACTCATAGTAGTGGGAAGAATCCAGAGGCCATCCCTCACTTGGAAAAATGAGCTCTGAGGGGAGAGTATCTTTATTTTATTTTATTTTTTTTATAATTTACTTGAAAGAGAAACTCGAGCTTGAAAAGGAGGCCTAGAGGAGTGGCATGAGCTGGAAGAGAAGGCACAGCCAGCAGATCTGGGTGTTTCCAAGGTGCTAATTTAAGCATTAGTTCTCAGTTTAGTGGGAAGAAGCCATCCCTGCCCTGTTCCTGCTGCTGTGCGGCAGCTGCAAGGAGCCTTCCTCTGGGGTGGGAGTTGGCCTGAGGGCGTGGCCTCCCTCTTTCCCCCATCACACCAATTATTTAATTGGCCTGGCGGCATCTCAGCAGCTGAACCAGGCCTGGGCTTATCCCTGAGAGCTCCCCAGGGTCTCTTCCTGTCTCCTTATGAAAGGAATGAGAGCTCCTCTTGGAGCCCTAGTCCCTGGGCTCCACTCCTGCTCTCTCCTAGATAATCCTTAGCGTTTTTGAGCACAGATTTCCCCAAAGAAACTGCCAGGGATAGGCACATCTTGTATGTCAGTTCTGTGTCCAAGCCACATAACTCACTGATCTGGGGACACACCCATCTGTCCAAGGCTCTCTGTTGAGCAATTGAGTTGAATTTGGGCTATTGTTTGTGGCTCTGTTGTCTGTCTGCTGGGCTGGTTGGTGCAGTCTCACAGTCTGTCTTCTACTTGGCTACAATTGGAGAGGAAGAGATTTGTGGAAAACAAAACACACAAATGGAGCTTTTAAGCACTTAATTGTGTCGGGCAAAACCCTGCCTCCTGTGCTTTCAGAGACCAAAAAATAGCATATGGCGCCAGACAGGGTAGGGTCTCTGTACACTTGACCAAAATGCTAGCCGGGGCTCCCTGAAACCTAGGTTGTCTGTTAACTCATTTGTTTAATTCATGAGCATATGCTCAGTTCCAGGTACTTTAAGGACTAAGACAATAAGACCTCTCCAGTGGTTGGCCGGAAGGATGGGCTCAAATGGCTATAGCAGCGGTTCTCAACCTGGGGGTCGAACGACCCTTTCACAGGGGTGGCCTAAGACCATCGGAAAACACATATATAATTACATATTGTTTCGTGATTAATCACTATGCTTTAATTATGTTCAGTTTGTAACAATGAAATTGGGGGTCACCACAACATGAGGAACTGTATTAAAGGGTCATGGCATTAGGAAGGTTGAGGGCCACTGGGCTATAGGAAGGTTTTAGATACATGCCAGGAAAGAGCAGAGATCAATGGAGGGTGCTCCTGAGAAAGGGTGACACCTCCCTTGGGAGAAGATGAAAAATGCTGAAGTTCTGACCCTTTGACCACCTGAGTCTTAAAGTAGTTTCACACTCCTCCTGCCTCCTGACACTCAGGGATGGGGATGGTCAGGACATTAATTCAGTGAATGGACCACAACAGCTCCTGAAAAGTGGCAAGAGCCACTATGGAAAATTATGTGGTCAGGGAGCCTTAAGTTGTCTCCTGGTAGTCAGATGACTTTTCAATTTAAGGATGGACTCTGCTAATGGGTCCATATGGCCTATGACCTAGTATTTCTCAGGTTCTGGAATGAGCCCTTTTCTCTTTTCCTATATTGCAAAGTGAGGATCAGGTTTATTTAGACCTCTGCCTTACCCCTTACTGCTTTACTCATCGCCTCAGTCAACAAATACTAAGAACCTACCTTCTGCCCTCTAGATGTTGTGCTGGAATCCATAACATAGAATTTTCTCCAGGGATAGGCATAATCAAGATGGATTGAGGTACAACAGAGTAATGAGCACTGCAAAAGGAAGAATCAGGTCCACCAGGACCAAAGGAAAACAGGAAGGACTTCCATTAAGTGGTCAGAGAAGGCTTCACAGAGGAGTCATTGCTGAACTGACTTTTAGAAGAGGTGTAAAAGGTTGGCAGATGAGATGAGGTCAAGAGTTCCAGGCAAAGGACATGGAGGAAAAAACAAAAAGGTGCATTTGAATGATTGAAGGGTTTTTCTTAAGGGAATAACATCATCAAATTTTATTTTAGGATTAAACTTCAGTATCGGATAAGAGATTAGACAAGGTAAGATTGGAGGTCAGAAAACAAATATGAAGGTGGGTACAATAATAATCCAGGAAGAAATTATTTTGGCCTAGAGCTAAAAAAGAGGAAAGGATATATATATATATGTGACCATCCAACCGTCGGACCAGTAGCTATGATGCGCAATGACCACCAGGGAGCAGATGCTCAACATAGGAGCTACCGAGCTGTAGTGACTTGGCAGCTGCAGTTCTTAGGTGACGCACCCAGAACCAGAGAGGAGGGAGCCCAATTCCAAGGTGCGTCCCCTGAGACCTGCCCTCTCACTATCCAGGACCCCTCGGGAGATTTCGGGGAGCCAGTTTCGCCTGATCCCTGCAGGCCCGGCCGGGGGACCCCACCAATGCACGAATCTGTGCCCCAGGCCTCTAGTATACAGATATTAATTAAGTGGAATAGGCAGGATGTAGTACCTATTTGGAGGTGGGATGGAGAGTTTGGTAGTGAAGGATGCATCCCAGGTTTCTGGCATGATATCGTATGCCAAGAGACACCATCACCACCTCCAGAAAACTCAGAGGTTTGTGTATCTATTGGCTTCAGGGACTGCTTACATGGGAGAAGGTTGCTGTTTTCCTTTGCTCTGTGGTTGGAGCTGCATTCTTGGGGTTATGGGGGACTCAGAGTCCTAGAAATCCCAGGAGCAGAGTGAGACTGGTCCCACAGCTTCAAAAAGGGATACAGAGAAATGCCTGTCAATGAATACTTTTCCCCTGTGGTGAATGCAAGTGAATTGTGGCAGCAAGGAGCCATGGTGTTTTATTTTGTTTTTGTTTTGTTTTGTTTTTCTGGCAGCACGTTGGTAAAGAAAAATACAATCATTTCTTGGCTAAGAGAATGTTTTATGTTGTAGCCTTTTATCATCATTCTGGTCAAATCTACGGTTTTCTTGTTGATTGGCTGAGCTGATCAGCCTTTTACTGATTTCTTCTAGAACAGTGGTTCTCAACCTTCTGGCCCTTTAAATACAGTTCATGTTGTGACCCAACCATAAAATTATTTTCGTTGCTACTTCATAACTGTAATGTTGCTACTGTTATGAATCGTCATGTAAATATCTGATATGCAGGATGGTCTTAGGCGACCCCTGTGAAAGGGTCATTCGACCGCCAAAGGGGTCTCGACCCACAGGTTGAGAACCGCTGTTCTAGAATGAGTATGAATTACTGCTTCACCTGCAAGAGTCAGAATGGAAAGGGACACATATCCCCTTTCTCTAAGACCAGCCTGGAAAGCTTCAATTGGGATAGAAGTAGTGCCCAAGCTGCTGTCTTCAGGCAAAGTGTGCCAAGGGAGCAGACTTCTGGAATAGATTGCTCAGAGGTGACTTGGCTATTTAAAGGCCCCAAGTGTAGCCTCTGTAGTCAGGCACTTCCATGGTAGCTGGGAGTCAGGCTGAGTCATTTCCATCCCGGAGTTGGCTGCTGCCTGCCTGACTGCAGCCCAGAGTGAACAGAAATGTAAATCAGAGCTTTCTTCAGTTGAACCTGATTAGCCCCAGGGACTCTCTCCCCTCCTTGAAAGGGCAAATGGAGCCTTGTGTCTGGAAAGGGAACATGGGAGACTCAGCTTCTTGGGCTCAGCAGGCTCTCAAGGCGTTGTTTCCTAAGGAGACTCTGGTGGGAATCTGGCCATCAGGGCGCGAGAAAGGAAGGAAGGAAGCAGGCGGGGCTGGAACCAGCTCTGATCTGACACTGCTCTGGAATTCAGAAGCTGGAACTTGACCAGAGGCCTGACTGTGGAGCAGCATGGTGAACTCCTGGGCTTTAGGGAGGGACTCTGGAGTAGTGAAGTAGTGGAGGAAGGAGGCTTAGAGAGTCTGGCCTGGGGGAAGGGAAGATGGGGATATGTAGGAGTTCCCCCTTTACATTCTTAGAAGCCAGTTCAAGCAAATATGTACTTGCATTTGTTGTTATTCAAAGATATCATATTGAGGATCAGATGGTTATACTTCTCTCTCTCTCTCTCTCTCTCTCTCTCTTTCTCTCTCTTTTTTTAATCCTCACCTGCGGATATTTTCCCATTGTTTCAGATAGAGTAGAAGGGAGGTGGGGGTGTGGGAGAGAGAGAAACATCAATGTGAGGAGACACATCAATTGGTAGCCTTTTGATCTACCAGGCCAGGCTGGGGATCAAACCTGCAACCAAGGTATGAGTTACTTGCCTTTGATCAGGAATTGAAACCACCACCTTTTGGTGTACTGGCCGATGCTCTAACCCAGCGGTTCTCAACCTGTGGTTTGCGACCCCTTTGGGGGTCGAACGACCCTTTCACAGGGGTCGCCCAAGACCGTTGGAAAACACATATATAATTACATATTGTTTTTGTGATTAATCACTATGCTTTAATTATGTTCCATTTGTAACAATGAAATTGGGGGTCACCACAACATGAGGAACTGTATTAAAGGGTCGCGGCATTAGGAAGGTTGAGAACCACTGCTCTAACCACTGAATAAACTGGCCAGGGCTAGTTGTACTTCTTGAGGGTCAATTTTAAGTTTCTGTGATGATGATGATGATGATGATGATGATGATGATGATGATGTAGATGCATGAGCGTGCATGCACCAATAAGAGGTCAATAATGGCCATAAAGGTTGTTCTCTGAGTGACCATTCTAGCCCTGAAAAGTGTAACTATGACAAGAGGCCACATCCAGGCAGAATGAGTCCAGCTACTGTGGTTCCTGGCCTGATTTTGCCTGTTTTCACCACCAGACTCTTGGCCGTCATAACCAGAGTCCACCCCATCTATCTATTTGGAATAATACCTGAAGGGGCACTTTAAAATTTATTGAATTAACTGCACCCAAACTGTGCAATGGGAACCATATATATTTTACTATGTAGTTAACTTAAACATAATTATGTACACGCTATAAATTACTTATAGTTCCCATATTAACTTCCAATTTTATCTTTATAAAGGAATTGGTGAAGCCCTCAGCCAAGCATGGCTTAGACCAACATTTCCTATATTATATCTTAGGAATATTGGTCCTTTGAGATACTTTATGGGAGAAAAAAAGAATCTGTAGGCAAATTCCTTTGAGGAACACTACACACTATCCCATCACAATGTTTACTAGCATTTTAAAGGCTCTGAGAAGTTCTGCAGTAAAGAAACCTTTCTAGCTTCATTTAACCCAATGTTTCCCAAGATTCTGTAACCATGGAAACTTTTTCATGTTACATCTACTAATATCTTACAGAACCAATGTGTTTTGGGGAAACTCTGTCTTAGAAATTAGTGTTTCTTCTGATACAGTCTGGAATTATATTCTTTTAAATTCTTTTGAGCCTCTTTTATAACCCACACCATTTTTCCCATGCTAGTCTCTAATGTGATGTTGCTGCTTTGCATCAGGGTCTGAACTTATTGCCATCAGTAGGAAGATTTTAGTGAACTTTGATCAGGTGCGGAAGCCAATACTAAGTGCCTAGTTTTTCTCAAGATATTTTTTAAGGGGGTTTATTTCCCTTCAAGTCCCTCTACTAATTGTTGATGTAGCAACATTTTCACCATTAACTTTTTTTGACAGCTTCATTGAGATATTATTCATATACTGTACACTTTACCCATTTAGTACTTTACTTTGAGTTCTAGAGTGGCTGCTGCATGCCTCAGTATGCTCTGCCCTTTTGTGTTCTGCTAAGGGGAGAGAATATAAAGATTATAGTCCAAAGCTCTCATCAGGAAGAATCCATCTCAGCTGGGATTTAAACTGAAAAATGGATTCCCTGATTAAGGTTTCTCAGTACTCCCTCTGCAGTACTATTAAATGTCCCCGCTGATGACAGCAGCCTAAGAGGCATTCCTGCATAATCATTTTACATATGTAAAACATGGCCTACTTCATGGGCTACAAAAAGCATGGGTGATAAGCAGATTTCATTCCCTATGCCAATGCCCATTGACCAGTAGTGGCTGCCTGGAGCATGTATTAAGGTGGATTCTGAGGCAGAGTCCTGGTTCAGTGAGGAAGAATGACATGTTTGGTCTTTCATGTCTTCATGGTCTTCAGCAGGGGAAACATCACTTCTAGTACTCTGCTTGCCACCCTGGCAGCCCTGAATCATCATAGTTATCCTAGGCAAAGAACACAGGAAAGAAAGACTCTAGGACAGTGGTTCTCAACCTTCCTAATGCCACAACCCTTTAATACAGTTCCTCATGTTGTGGTGACCCCCAACCATAAAATTATTTTCATTGCTACTTCATAACTGTAATTTTGCTACTGTAAACAATATGTAATTATATATGTGTTTTCCGATGGTCTTAGGCGACCCCTGTGAAAGGGTCGTTCAACCCCCAAAGGGGTCAAGACCCACAGGTTGAGAACCGCTGCTCTAGGAGATGTTAGCTAGCTCAGCTTCACTGAGGGGCTCAACTCTTATGATGTGGCTCTTTAAGAAACGAATGGAGAAAAATGATCTTTCCTGCTCTGACATTCAGCATGGGTTTTTGAAATATTGACTTGATACAAAGTTAATAATCCTATATAATAAAAGGCTAATATGCAAATCAACCAAACTGCAGAATGACCTGTCGCTATGATGCGCACTGACCACCAGGGATTATTATGTATGTGTAATTTAAACATGTCAAAACATCCACTCTGGAACTTAGTATTGGCACCAAAGGGAACCAGTCAGGAACTAAGGTTTGGCCACCTATCAGCCTCCTTAAAAACTTTCTGATGGAATCTCATGTTTCAGATCCTTCATTTAGTCAGGAGCTGAACTACAGGAGTGAGGCAATCTCTGGGAACTCCAATGAGAGGAATTGATTTGAGTATCTTTGAAGGGGTGTGGAGATCAGGGTGAACTAATGAGGGGCATGGGCCTCAGGGCAGGAAGGAGCTGTGTTCGTGGTTGTA